TTTTTTATATTTAAAGCGAGTTTTTTGGGCAGTGTAGAGTAGCGCTTGTTGTTTGTCGTTTCTCCGATCACAAATGCAGACAAATGGTTTTATGTTTACGTTTCGCAATACGCAACGCATAAAAAGACAATATAAGTCATTATAATCCTTAATTATGTCCCCACTGGATGCAACAAATGCCTCATTTTAAATGGGTTTCATGCCGGACAGGGCATCACAGTATGGTAGGGGCGTAACATTTCCGTCACACGCTTGAGGTATTCGGCCAATCACAACGCACTGGATAGCTGGCCAATCAGAGCACACCTCGCTTTTCAGACCGATGAGCTTTGTAAAAATCAACGCGTTTCAGAAAGGCGGGGCATAGAGAAGCAACAATAATGTACAGTATGTGGAAAATAATGTGTTTTTTTAACCTTAAACCACATAAATATATTTCATTACACCAAATACATAAAATAATGTTCTTTTTAGCAACGTCATATGACCCCTTTAAAGCAGGAAATCGACTCGATCTTCTAATATAAAGATCAACCTCCTCTTTCAAATGAAGGTTGTTTTCTGGTAACGACTGGAAATCTCACTTTCCGACAAATGGCAAGGGAGCTCTGCAAGTTTCATTTGACAGGCACACTCTCTCTCTCTCTCTCTTTCTCTCTCACTTTCTTTTCTCAGGCACACACAGACTGGTGTCTCTGCCCCCTCACCGCCCACCTTTTTTCAAGCAGTTGCTAAGGTGACGGCAAAGACTGCATTTTAATCAGATAATAAATTAAGGCAACGTTTTTTTTGTGTGTGTTCTACAAATGAATGCTTCATGAATATAGCGGGTAAACATATTTAAAACACTTTAAAGTTAACAGGTTCAAAGTAGCAAATCTGGAATAATGAAGCCTATTGGATACTATTCCATTTCCTGTGCATTTTGTGCTTAAAAAGTGCACGATCACATCAATTCAGCACGACATACACTACAGTTATGTAAAACTACATCGATCCAATTAGTTGCCAGATACAGTATGTGATCCATACAGTCTAATGCGAAACCCACCTCCCTTAGCATCTGATTATAGTTATTGATCTGATTATCCTTCATGCATACGGTTTCTTCTGCTGAAAACACACACAAACAGAACGGGACAATCCCTGCATATCATTTACACTTTAATATACTACGATAGACTATTAGCTCGCATGCAGTGAGAACACAGGGGAGGATTTTGAGCTTCAGAAACAATAAAAATACAGCACACACTAGGACATGTGCATGTGTTTTGGTCTAATATGGATAGTAAAGTGCCATTGCTCTGTTCCGCATGAGTTCTGGCAGTCTTATCCTTTCAGAGCTCAGCTAGACTAAAAGCTTGATTCAATAGCAATGCCTTCTGATATATTTATGAGTCAGGGACAGACTGCATTGTTTACTACTGCTGTGGTTTGTAGGATAACGCATCCTACACAGCCAGGCCTTTATATCTCCAAAATGTCTGCTAAGATAGTAGTTACTTATTTTTCTTTTTTTTTTGTATGGCAGCAGTACCTAAAGAAAAAAAATCATTGCTTAGAGGTTGTTTTTTCAAAGCTCTGGGGACTTTATGGACTTGGAATCAACTCAGATGTTTTCACTAAAACTCTGTAGAGGAAATAAAACCTAGAAACTTTTAAGACAATTGTTGACATATGATAAGAGTTATTAAATGAAAATCAATAGCAAAGCTTAGAGGCTTAGATCAGTGGTTCTCAACCAGGGGTCCGGGGTCCACTGGGGGCCCCAGAAAACTTTTTTTTTCTTTTTCTGTGACATAATATAAATAATAAAATAATTATATTATAGTGATTATTAATAACAAAAAAAATACACTTTAATAAAATAATTATATGATTTTTAAAAATATACAATTAAACCTTTTTTTTTTCTTTTCCTGAGTTTCCCTAGAGGCTAGAGGAGACACATGTGAGATACTAGGGTCTTTACCTCAGGATAATAATCTGAGAAGCCAAGATTTACACAAAATTCTCTGTTTTTTCTCCATTTAACCACATTGCTGTAAAGAAGAAGCAAGTGGTACATTAAAGGGATGAGATTTGTGATTCCATACTCTTTCCTATGTGCATGATTGAAAAAAAGAACACCAATGAAATAAAATGTGACAGGAACGACTTACCATGTTGATGTCCCTGGGAAGGGAAACAGATCGGTAAGGATATCTAGCGAGGGTTTCCTCTCTGTAGAGCAGCGGGCTCAAAGGTCTGATTCTCTGGATGGGGTTTGGAAGACATTCTGTAGTAGTCTTAACTTCTCTTCTCTCGTTGCTCTCAAATGTGATGGCCGTCTCTTTCTTGGCCTTAACTTCCTTTATCTCATCCTCTCTTCGCACACAGTCGATGTCCGTCTCCAGGTAGGCTTTTCCTAGAGTCTCTGGAGCACCTTGTTCTTCCTGCATCCCATCCGCGGACTGGATACTCTGCGGCTGATCTGGGCACTGAGATAAGTCCACGTCCCCCGGCTGCTGTTGAGGGTCTGGGATCTGGGACTTGCCACTGTGACTGGAGATGGAAGAGTTAGACCTGGAGGATTCAGTCTGATTGGACAACACGAACAGGTTGGTAGGGCGAAGGACTCGGCTGCTCACTTCATCCAGGAACTGTGAGAACTTCAATTTGGCTTCGATTTTGAGTTCCAGTTGATGCTGTAACACAGCCAAATGCGACGCGGCCTGTCCAGAGGTCATATTGACACCTTTACTGGAGCTCCTCCCTTCCTCCCCACTGGTCAACACTGCCCCCTGCTGGCAGCTCCCTGCTTTGGTCTTGGGTTCTCTAAGGGGGCTGTGCCCTTTTTGTTGGTCACAACATTGCTCTACTTCATGGCATCCGTCGGTGTTGAGCTTTAGGCAGGTGGTTGCCTCTGAGCTCATACTATCCCAACTCGAGGCCCATGGACTGCTGCTGTTGCTGGTGCTCCTTCCACTGGGACTGGAGGTGAGGCTGCACGACTTCCAGCTGGTGTGTCCGGCTGCGAGATACCAACCTACACGTCCTCGAGGAGAATAAAACATCTGAGGGGAGGTGGACGAGTTGGAGGAGGTCGTGGAACTGCATGATCTTCTCCTTAACGGGAGCTGGTGGTGCATACTGCAAGCGGGATCCATCGCCCCCTGAAACTCAGTAATGCTGTTGGCCTGAGCTGAAATGTCCACAGGATCTGATGCCTAGACAATGAATGAGCACGAAACCCAGTTTTTAAAGCATTTAGCCCCAATCACTGCCCACCGACTGGGAAAAACTCAATATTTAGGCCACCGAATCATTCAGTACCCTGGCTGCCATGTATATGGAAGAGCAGGTTCATCTACTACATCAGAATCCAGTTCTGTTTATCTAACAAAAATGGAGATACTATTATGAATAGTATTTTGGTCAATGACAAAAATGAGTGTCCACGATAAAGAAAAGGAAACTTTAAAAACAATAGATAAAACTGAAATGTTCTTAGAAATGTACTCTTCAGGTTGGTTGCATTTGATTTGAAATGCTTTTATACAGCCTTTCCTGTAAGGAGAATATGTCATTAAATTTAAACCTTTCTTGAAAATGGTATTTAAGAAAGGTTAAAAAAAACTGTAATAATAATAATTGAATAATAGTTGAAAGCATTGAAATTGTGTGTGTGTGTGTGTGTGTGTGTGTGTGTGTGTGTTTAAATTGACAGTTAAATCACACTTACATTTCTGACTTTGTGCCACCAAAAGATATTAAAATTTATTTAATTCAGAAATTAAAAACATGCTCTTCATAGAAGAAGTGTATTTAATTATGGCCTGCATTTTGCTTTTAAAAGCAAAGAAAAGTCTGTATTCAACAGATATATCAAAGCTAGTCAGGCACATGCAGATCAAATTAGTACATTTTATGAAGTGATGTGTTTGTCAGGTCATGAGAGAAATTGCTTTAGAAGTTTGCCCTTAATTAGGACATCTATTGATAGCAACTGGGAGTTGTTTTTTTGTTTTTTTTAACTTCTTTCTTCCAGGTCAATGCTTTCTACTGAACATTGATCACAGATAACCAGATAACCTCACACAGACTCATTTTTATGGCTTATGGAGTTTAACGTTTTCATTAAATATAAGGAAATCTCTCACACAAACATGAGATCTGTTTAGTTGTGTAATGGAAATTCATTATTTCCTGATAATATCACCATTACACAGTATCGACCGCTCCTCCCTCCGCTGTTTGAGAGTGAAGTGATTAGTCACTGATGACTAGTTTTAATTAGGCTGCTTGTGTGGCTAATAAGTGTGGCAAAAGTTCAACACAATGAAAGATGGCCCTCTATGATGTTACATCTGTGGAGTTTCTCATGCAAAAACATCCCAGCTGCAGTCTGAACAAATGATCTGAACAATTCGTCGCCTCTGTTGTGTCTTTGGTACATATTTTTCTAAATCACCATGCAAATTACTTTTACTGCCACGTGTTTTTACACAGACTTGAAGCTTAATAGTGATCTAAGTGTATATCAACAATAAAATGCATTGTAAATCAATATTTTCTAAATGAGAGGGGCGGAGAGAAGGACTTGAGGAGGTTTGGAAACGAGAAGGGAGTAAGGGAAATAATGGCACTAAACCAGCTAAATGATTACGGGGGGCCTGTTCATGAGTAATTTTTATTTTATTGAGCAGAAATGTTACAGAAGGGAGAACACAGTAAAAGTGCTGCTGATCTCTGCTGACTCTTTCTACAACCTGCATCTTTATTGCTATAACCAGTGTTGGGAAAGCTACACAGAAAATGTAGCTAAGCTCTAAAATGTTATACACTGAAACCAAACCCAACCAAAACTGAATTACTGTTATTAACAGACAGCTAAATTAACTGACAGCAAATGTATATCCAACTTTACCTGCTTATACATAGGTAGATAACTTTAAAAAAATGTAATTCGTTAAACTTAATGTCAGAACTGCAGTGGGTAAATAATGATATTTTGATGCCCAAAGTCTTCCAGATTTTAAATATTTTGTTCAGACTTCCAGAATCAACATTTACTGAAGGTTACTGGATATTATGACAACATAGTGTTTCACAGCTGTACATCATCAGTAACTTGCATCATTATTTGTTTCATACATGGTCTAATTGCTTGAGAGGTGCTTTTTTCACCCAAATTCAAAGCATGGATCACAACATTATTTAGAGAGGAAAATATAAAAGAGAGAGAGAGAAAAAAATCAATAAATTACGAATAATTTACTGCCGTTGTGTGAATAATATGTAATCATGTAATCCATAAAAAGTAACTGTAATCTGATTATGAGCATTTTAAAATGTAACTCTAATTACAAGATTACATAATCCAGATTACATATAATCAGTTACTACCCAGCACTGCTTATACATAAAGCATTATACTATACAGCAAATCTCAGCTGATTAATCATTTATATTGTCATCAAATCTAAGATATCTAAACTGCTAAATGTGAACTAAAAGATTTTGCTATTATAAACATTTAATACACAACAGTATATATTCCTGTAAAAATCTGCTTTGAAAAAAAAAAAAAAAAAAGAAATTTGGAAAAAGCACTAAAAACACCAAATATAAAATTAGCTAAGCTAAACTGAAAGCTACAATTCAGAAAAAGTATAGATAAATACACAATAAGCTACATGGAAAATGTAGCTTGCTACATTGAACCTACTTCATAGTATTCATGAGATGTATTAATATATTTGTTAATGCCCAAAAGTAGACTTACTGGACAGAAGAGTACAAATTAATCAACGCATGAAGACCCATAACCGTTTGAAGGAACCGCCTAATAATTGAGCTGAGTGGAACGGCTCTGTTCGATTCAAACTAAAACTGATAACACGCGACTTCGATGATTCAAACCACTTGAAAAGAGTTGATTCAAAAGAGTCAAGTATTCCCGAATTGAACATTACTTGTTCTGATTCTAAAGAGCCGACAAAGAATACTGCACACAAACGTCTTCAATGCAAAATATTGTCAAGAAAAATGTAACATTGCAGCAGTTCACTCTACTTCTTAATATAATAGTTTTACTAAAAAGCTACATAATTTAGAAAATACAGCATATAATTCGCAAATAGTATGGTGGAAGGGGACCCTAGTTGGTTATAAATAACTCTAGAATATAAATATCTCTGTAATATACAAAGTCAGCACCTGTTAGCTAAAGCAAGTTCTTAGTCCGATGTGCTGCAAATAGAGCAAATATAAACATACAAGAAATGGTGATGGGGGAAAAGAGATCTGAGGAAAAATTACACTTCATTGCATTCTCTTGTAAAACATTTGCGTTCCCCCAATAAACTTTGCGGTCGTTTGCAAAACTGTTGGGTTCTTCGTGAGCGAACTCAAAAGTTTTGCCAGTGAACACAAAAGTTTTACAAACAAATGACAAATAACAGATTTGACCTGCACTGACTTCGGCGTTTTTGTCGTTGCACCTCCAAAACAGTGTTGGGGAAAGTTACTTTTAAAAGTAATGCATTACAATATTGTAATATTACAATATTACTCAATAAAAAGTAACTAATTGCATTACTTAGTTACTTTTTATGGGAAGTAATAGATTACTTTACTTTTGAATTACCTTTTGTCATCTGAGATGGGCTTGCTTATTTATTTTTAATAAAAAAAAAAGTAAGGGCCCTTTCACACCAAAAGTGAAATTAATAAGACTCAGGCTGAAGGAAGTGCCTCTGCCTCTGCACCTTACCGTGCGTTCACACTGCCGCCGTCGAGAGCGTCAAAGTGGCCGGAAGTCATTCATTTTCAATGTAAGCCGGCGTCGAGCAGCGGCGCGGCGCGTCTTGGACGGTGAGGGCGTCGAGGAGAGTTGAAATCAGGGCTGCGTTCAGCCCCGACAAAAACGGTGCAAAACGTTTTTTAAACGGAAACGGTGGTGCGTTGAACACTCTGTTCTGATGACGCAAGAGTTGCAACTATGGCAGCTGAGAAGGCCATTCTTTGTGTTCTTTTTGTAGAATTTTCGGAGCCTGATGAAATCGGTATAAATACGTGTTTAATACTGCAAAATACGCTCGATGGTACAGTCATTGCCTGAAGGGGTTTGTGGAAACTGTGGTTCCTAATTATTGTGATCCAACATTTGCCTCGCATTTCAAGATGAAAAGACAAACATTTCAGGTGAAGGATAATCCACTTCTTACCTCCAAGACTGTGTTATGATCTATATGACCTTATTATTTTTATTGTGAGTATTAGGCTTAACATTATTGCTGATCACTGTTGTTGTGCTATAATATTGGTCCTGTAAACTTTGGTTCCGACCACATTAGTTCCCAAGCAAAATGGAGGAGAGGTTGATTATTGCTGTGGCGGGTTTCCCAATAATCTACGACGTGTCCCTGTTTGCGTACAGGGACATAAATAAAAGATCAAAAATTATGCGTGGACCAAGGTGTCTGAAATTGTTGGTGTTCCTGGTGAGTTGCTGATGTGCATTAACGTATAGGAATAATAATCTAATGATATAATAAATAATAGTAGGACAGTCCCAGTTCACTTTTAAACCTTTAAATCAATTTTTCTGATTATACTTACATTAAGTAATGCTTATACATGATCATACTTAAGTAACATTTTCAATGCAGGACTTTTACTTGTATCAGAGACAGTATTTTTACAG